AGCTGGGCAGCTGACAGAGTTGCTCGGATGCAGAGGAAGGAGGCCAGAGACAGGCAGATGTGGGAGCTACGCGGCTGTTGAGCCCTTGGGTCGACTGGTCACGTTGCTTTGGAAACACAAGAATTTTCCCGAGGATGAGCGCCCCAGCCCAGGGACGTGTTCTGTGTCTGGCTGTACGTGGCAAACGTAGCTACCCTGCCCAGGCAGCCCGGCCCCCCCGCCCCCCCGTGGGGGCAGGGGACTGGCCTCGAGGCCCCTCCCAGGCCTGGTGCTCTGGGATTCTCTGGTTCCTTCGGTGCACCGGGCTGGCGGAGACACCAGCATTTTCCCGAGGATGAGCGCCCCAGCCCAGGGACGTGTTCTGTGTCTGGCTGTACGTGGCAAACGTAGCTACCCTGCCCAGGCAGCCCGGCCCCCCCGCCCCCCCGTGGGGGCAGGGGACTGGCCTCGAGGCCCCTCCCAGGCCTGGTGCTCTGGGATTCTCTGGTTCCTTCGGTGCACCGGGCTGGCGGAGACACCAGCAGAGCAGGCCTGTTGTTCTCAGGCAGCCCTGTGAGGGGCCCCCTCCGTCCCGTGTGACTGGCACCCGGGTCCGACAGCTGAGTCGCAGGGTCTGTCCCAGGCGCCGGCCGCCCCTCGCAGGAAGTGAAGCTGGCCTGAGAGAGCTGCGAGGAGACCGAGGGCGGGCAGTGGCTCCAGCCGGGCCGGTTACCCGTAATCCCGCCAGGGTGCACTGTCCAGTGACCCCCTGGCATCCCCCAAGTGGATGCTACTCTGGGTCTTGGTCTGCTGCTGGTTTGCAGCCCTGGGAGCCTGTCAGAGGTGAGATGCTCCTGTACACAAAGTCTCCATCCATCACCTCCCTCTGGTCGCTGCCCTGCTGCAGGCGTCGGGCCAGGCACTGGGGGCCCTGTCTTTCCCCATTTCCCGGCTTCCCCCCCTTCGCCATGCTGCTGGGGTAGCCAGGGGGCCAGGCACTGGGGGCCCTGTCTTTCTCCTTTCCCAGCCTTCTCCAGACCAGCAGAGTACTCCCCGTGGCTGGGGCGGGGCCAGTGACAGACTGCAGAGGGGAAGAGCTTTTGCTCGGTGTTGGGAGGAAGAGAAAACACAGGGGCTATCCAGGGAAGATGCAGGTGTGTGTGTGTACGTGTGAGAGCTGCCTTTCGCTTCAGCTGTCCTGCTCCGCCCATGGGGACCTGGGGTGTCAGCCCAGGTGGATTCCCCTGGTCCTCTGTCACTGGGCTTAGAGAGGCCTGGCCAGGCAGGGCGACTCGGAAACGTCCGGAGACAGACCATCTCCACTATCCCCTGACCCTCTCTACCAGCGGCTCGGACGGAGTTTCCTGGCCCCTTTGATTCCCTTTTATCGGCGTAGGCCATGGACTCGTTGCAGACGTTCCTCCGTGGCGCGACTCCCAGCAGTATTAACTCTGCACTCCCAGCCACGCCTGAGGGAAGAAGCAAACCGGTTTCCCTCTTTGGGTCTGCTGCTGAGGGACACGTAAAAGCTGTTGAAATGGGCCTGTGCTGACGATTGCTGGTCTGTTTGCTGCCCCCAGGGACGGGTGTTCCAGATCGATCTGCTCAGCTCATGGGTGTTTTTAAGGGCCGGGTGCTGAAGGCCCCAAGGCGAGCTAAATGTTATGCCGAAAAAGTCAATGCAGATTAACTGCAGCAAGTGCTCTTCCTGCTCCGAAATGAGAACGGCAGAAGATAGAGGCGTTGTCTAGAGCCACGCTGGAAGGGTGACCTAGAACAAGCAGCAAACGATTCCCGTGTCCGTCCGTTGCTCTGACACAGCGTGGGCAATGGCCGGCCCCATCACTGGGGACTACTGCCCGGACAGACGTCCTGTGGGTTTCCCTTGGGCGCGCTCTGTCAGTCGCCTGCCTTTTAACAGAGCTTGATCCCCCGGGGTCCTGTTTCCCGGGGGGCTGGCGGAAGGAAGCTGCAGCACCGGCGTGTCCTGAGCCCCCTACGATTGCAGAGCCGGGCGCCTCGGGAGAACGACTCGGCTTCCAAACAGCAGACGGGACTGAACGTCCGGTCTGGATGCAGAGCTGTAGCCCGGGGTGGCTGTTGGAGGAAGCAAATTATTGCGGGGCCATCCAGGAATTCAGAGCGGTCGGGCCCACAAGGGGCAGGCTCTGCGGGCCAAAGAGACTTTTTAAACTCGCGTTCTTTGGAAACGCACGTTTCTGGCCGAGGGCGAAACTAGTGAAAAACATTTGCCCAGCAATTGGCCGGTGCCACCCAGCCCTCTTGCTGGGTGCATCCGGGTCCCTTACCAGCAGCCTCCTGCCCGCCTGGGGGGCGGGGCTCCTTTCCGAGCGCAGTTCCCCGCGTCCCTGGCACGTGGCCTCTGCCCGCGTTGGCTGGTGCTGGGGATGGAACGGTACCAAGGCTGGACCCACAGTGGCCGTGTCCTTATTGGAATCTCTAATTGACGGACTCCCTGGAACCAATATTTGTAGAAATTGGGGCTTTTTCTGTCCCTCCACTTTCCCTTGCGAAGTGACCGGAAGCGCTGGGAGTGAATGGGGCCGGCACGCGTGGGAAGGGGGTGAGGAAGGAGTGCTGCCCACACGTCCCCTCTCCCGCTCTCGCCTGTGCAGGTGGCGCACACCGCGGATGGCCTGGATGCTGACCTCTGGAAGGACGGCTTGTTCAAGTCCAAGGTCACACGGTACCTGTGCTTCACGAGGTCGTTTTCGAAAGAAAATGTAAGTCCCTTGGCTGCGTGGTGGGCGGTTTGGGGCTTTGCGGGCGTGCTCTGGCTTTGGGGAGCAGGGTAATTCAGGCAGGATTTTCTCCCAGTCGGGGCGCGTTTGTCGCCAAGCAGCGCTGCCGTGATCTTGGCTGTGTGCGCTCTCTTCACCTGCTGTTTGCTCTCGGCAAAGCCACGTGCAGAAAGATTTGCAGCCGAAGAAATGGGGGCAGAGCCTGGGGAATGTGTGTCAAGCCGTGCGTCGGGCGTGCCTGCCACGGCCCGAGCGAGCGCTGCCGGGATTTCCCTACGCGGCTGACACGTTGAAAGCGAGAGTAAGAATTGAATCTGGAGGAGCAAAATGTCCCCCGCCCCATGTCTCCTGGTCCGGAACGTCAGCCTTGTTTTCCTCACGCGCTTCCTCAGCCTTCCCTGCCCCCCTGAGCATCCCCGGGACTCCGGCAGCTCTGTGGGCCTGTGCCCAACAGGCTTCCAGCGCGGCGCCAGGGCACAGCAGGCAGCTACACCAGCCCGACTCGGGGCGCTGTGGCCAGACCACGTCGTTGGGGTGGGGAGTTGTTAGGCTGGCCCTTCGTCAGTTGAGTCAATCGAAAGCCTCTGGAGAGAAGAACTTGGTTTGGCTTCCCGGGTGCGACGAGCCCTCCTCGTGCGGGTCGCTGCTGCTGCGCCCGAGCGGGGAGTCAGGGTTGTGGGCAGTGGAGCGCGAGGCAGCCCCGGCCTGCACCTGGCGCTCCGAGGTGCTGATACAAAGGCCTGGCGGCGGATCGTGGCTCTTGCCGTG